AAGAGGAGAGCACGAGAAGCTTATCTGTACCACCGAAGGAAACGGTCCTATCTTTGACCACGTTTCATGAAGAGCTCCCCAACCTCCTCCTTCCGTTGAGGATAAGTCGTGATCTCCAGCAAGAATAATCTTTTAGCTGCGATAAAAAAGCCTTAAGGATATGTCATGATCTACAGGAGGATGATCTCTTAGCTGCTATAAAATAGCTCCAATCTGGTAGAAGAAGGGGATCACGCCCCACTAGAGACAGACAGAGGACGACCGGAGATTACTATTTTCTTTGATTCTCCATTCTCTCTCTCAAAGCTTGTATCTCCATTCTCCATACCTTTGAATCAATAAAATACCCGGCAACTGAAGCCATTGAAGAATGGACGTAGGTCGAATTGACCGAACCACTATAAATTGTGTCTTCTTCAATTTTTTCATTGATTTCATTGCATTTATTATCTACACTTGACAGGTGGTGTGCAAAACCATTTTTGTGCATCATCAAATCCCACAATTGCTTGGCGGTCTCCTTCTGAGTGATGGTTTTCAAGATACTCTTATCTATGGATTGAAAGAGATAATTCTTTGCTTTGAGATCCTTGAGTCTTGCTTCGTCGATTGCCTTTTGTTGGGCTGTGTCTACGGCTTCGTTTCCCTTTGGTTCTTCGAAACCAGATTGAATAACGCTCCAATATTCCTTAGAACGCATGAGATTTTCCATAATCAAACTCCCGTGATCGTAGTCTCCGTCGAATTTTGGAACACATGGTGTTGTGAAGCTTCCTGAATCAGTTGTCATTTCCTGTTTTCGTGTTTTTCCTCTCAAACGCTCAAATTGTATGTTTCTTTTATCAGGTCCTTGCTCGCTCTGATACCAAATAAAGGAAACTGATAATCCTTATTCTTTCAAGTAGAAAAATAACTGAGGCTTTTATAAAGCCTTACAAACAGAAAAATCGAAACACAAGGAAAACATATCTAAACAAAATTGAACAAATCAATTCCTACAAACTAGCTTACTTAACAGTTTAAATAACAACTCCTACCTATTATTTAGCTATCACGTTGCAGACCAAGCCAATAGCTCCAACATTTTTGTGTTTATTTCTTACATTAATTTTTTTTTTTGGGTTTTGATAAATTTTGTAGAATTAGGGGTTCTTCGTTTTTGGGAACGTCTTTACATATACTATGTTTATGTATTAAGAACATTCATTTAATAATATCATATCTCAAATTTTTCTCTTACCTTCATGTAGATTAAGAGTATTGTGTGTATATTTGATACATAAAAACTGTGATTTATTCTAATCCGTGCTAGCACCGTATTACATTCGCTCTGATAAAACCACCCAACCTCTAACACTTGTCAGCATACAAGATACGAAACTACCATGGGGCCATGGTCCCCCTCCTCCATGTTGATCAAGAAACTTTATACACATATATCTGTAGTACTAAATACCATTTTTGTAATGCATTGGCTCTCTAGAATTTTATTCCTCTATTTTTAGTCATTTACACATATAATGACTCCATAAAATATATTTTATTTAATGAAATGACCTCTTCATAAAAGAGGTACTACTATAATAATATTACATAAACTATGATATGCTTTTAATTTAGTAGCTATTTGTAGTTTTTTTTGTGTTGTTTATGATATTTTCTTGTTACAATTTATAAACTAGTATCTAACAAGTTCAATATGGTTCACCTCAGTGGTATGAATTTTTGTTCAAAGGTTGCCCCGTCCCTTCTCCATCCTAGTGATGAAATCTTGGTTCTGTACCAGTCGCCCACTCTCATGGTCTTCCGTCTTGTGGCCTCAAATCGCCAAGCCACCTCGTGATGATTTGATGGGTTGTCACGCTTTCAGCCAGCTCAAGTAATAAATACAAAGTAACAATTGAAATTATTTTTAACTTATTGATTTAATTCAATATCATCGTTAAATCAATAATAGAGCCAATTGACTTTTACCTTTCGCCACTACAAGAATAAATATTTTTTGTGACAAATTTTTTACAACAACTATATTTGTCGTCATAAAAGATGTATTAAAGACAATTTTTTGTAGCGACTGTGTTTGTCGTCACAAAAAACATGTTTGTGTTAATAGTTGTAACAACTATTTTATGTCATAAACTCAAAAAAAAAATTTATATTTGAGACAACTGTTTTTTCTATCTCAAATAATATTTTATAAATTCAAAAGAATTTTTTACATTTATGGCAGCTACTTTTCCCATAGTAGATAATATTTCATAAAACATTAAAATGTTGTTTTAGATTAAAAAATATTTTATTGTTTAAAGAAGAAAAACTATAAAAAAAATTTGTATTGACTACAATTATTTTTTATATTACAAGTAATATTTTATAAAATTACGTAGTTTAACATCAAAAGACAATTTTCAGTTCAAAGAAAAAAAAATTAAACTCTACAAAGTCAAGTTTTTATATCAAAATTAGGGGTGCCAAAATATAACACGACCTATTAACATGACATAAAATTAGTGGGTTTGATTCTTCTTTAAGTCACCTGTTTAATAAACGAGTAGATCCGTCACAATACGATTATAAATGAATCAGGTATTGGTGAAACCAATTAAAAGAAATGTATACGATAAGAATCGTTTATATATCATTTACATAATTGGACAAGTTATTCAGAGAAATATTGTGTGACCCTTTATTGATGTATATTCTAACTTCTTTTAGTTCTTTATTGTATATATGTATATAAATATTATTTCAGTATTGTAACAATAATTTTATAATTTTTTCAGATATTACTGAGAGAGTAAATGGTTTGGAAAGGATGTTCAACTTTTTTGCATTAATTTTTTGAACTCATAAATCGTTATATTTTATAAAAATGCATATTTTACATTTTGTTTAACTCATAAGATTATTTTTTTTTATATATATAAAAATATTGTTATGTTTTTGGAAATGTTAATTATATTTACTTTTGTGTTTATCTATATATTAAATTGGATAGTTGTATGGATACGAATGAATTTTTTGTCTAATAGTATTTTTTACATTGTGCGTCTCCCCCCCCCCCACCCCCCCCCCACCAAAAAAAAAAAATTGGTATTTTAGTGAGCACTTTTACTGCCAAGGTGGTTTGACTCCGTTGTTTCCATCAAACTCCCGATCAAGACCGTAAACATATGTGGACATTCATATTACGAAGTTTGAAAAAATCCATTGAACATCTAGGATCTTTGAACGTGATTGACTTGAACGGCAAGATGGGTGAACCTGCACGATTGTCACACGGCTCCCTATCACAAAAATATGAAAACCAATGTCCACATTAACAGACATAAATAGAGAGAGTTGTGAACAGTCTGCTAAAGTTATAGTCTGCTGAAACTTAGCCATGTTTTGCAAACTTGTAATAATGGTGGTGGTGGTGTCTCTCTATGGTATTGGCTTAGCAGCCTCTCAAGAAGAAGATATTGGCTTCATCTACAATGGATTTCGATCGGCGGCGAACCTGAGTCTCCACGGCATAGCTGAGTTCACACCAAATGGCCTCTTGAGGCTCACCAACACCACCGACCAACAAAAGGGTCATGCCTTCTATCCCAATCCCATCAACTTCAAGAACTCATCAATTGGTTCAGTTTTTTCCTTTTCCACCTCTTTTGTTTTCGGTATTGTCTCGGACTCTCCGACTGTGGGTGGCCATGGAATTGCTTTTGTAATTGCACCCACTAGAGGCCTTACACAATCTTTTCCAAGCGAGTATCTTGGTCTCTTTGATGACACCAACGATGGCAATGCCAGCAACCATATCTTTGCAGTCGAACTTGATACAATAAAAAATCTCGATCTTAATGACACCAATAACAACCATGTTGGAATTGATATTAATGGATTAGAATCCAAAGTGTCAGAGCCAGCAGGATATTATGCTAGTAGTAATGGTGAGTTTCAGGACTTGAAGCTCATTAGTCGAGACCCAATTCAAGTTTGGGTGGATTATGATGGTGATGCTAAGCAAATTCAAGTCACTTTAGCTCCAATAAACGTGGGTAAGCCAAATACTCCACTATTATCTTTGCACCTGGATCTTTCATCGGTTATGAATCAGACCATGTATGCAGGCTTTTCATCATCTACTGGTTCAATCCCCACATCTCATTATATATTGGGGTGGAGCTTTAAGATGAATGGTATGGCTCAAGGGCTAGATCTCTCTCGACTTCCTCGACTTGGACCTGAAGAGAAATCGAAAATGTTGGAGATTGGGCTACCTGTTATTTCCATTGTGTCTATGTTATTAGTGATTTCAGGCCTAATTTTTCATATAAGAAGGAAGAGAAAGTTTGCAGAAGTGCTTGAAGATTGGGAAGTTGACTATGGACCACATAGATTCAAGTACAAAGATTTGTATATTGCCACCAAAGGGTTTAGAGACAAAGAGATATTGGGGATTGGGGGTTTTGGTAGGGTATACAAAGGGGTCTTACCCACCTCGAAAATTGAAATTGCAGTGAAGCGGGTGTCTCATGATTCAAGACAAGGGATTAGGGAATTTGTTGCTGAAGTTGTCAGTATTGGTCGATTACGCCATCGGAATTTAGTATCTCTCTTGGGTTATTGCCGGCGTAAAGGAGAGCTCCTTTTGGTTTATGAGTATATGCCCAATGGAAGTCTAGATAAGTTCCTCTACGACCAACCACAATTCACCTTGGATTGGACCCAAAGATTTGCAGTCATCAAAGGCGTAGCATCAGGACTTTTCTATCTACATGAAGGGTGGGAACAAGTGGTAGTTCACAGAGATGTCAAGGCCAGTAATGTCTTATTAGATGGTGAATTAAATGCAAGATTAAGCGATTTTGGTCTTGCGAGATTGTATGATCACGGGACTGACCCTCAAACAACCATTGTGGCCGGGACTTTTGGGTATCTAGCCCCTGAACATGCCAGAACTGGCAAGGCCACAATAAGCACTGATGTATATGGTTTTGGGGCATTTTTGCTAGAGGTTGTTTGTGGAAGGAGACCAATAGAGCCACGACGAGAATCAAGCGATCAAGATCTGGTTTTAGTCGATTGGGTGTTTTCGTGCTGGAGCAGAGGTGAGATTCTTCAAGTAATTGATCCAAATTTGGGCAGTGATTACATTGCAGATGAAGTGAAGTTGGTATTGAAGCTTGGCTTGTTGTGCTCTCAATCAGAGCCTGTAGCTAGGCCGAGTATGAGGCAAGTTCTACCGTATTTGGAGGGCTCCATTCTTCTGCCTGACTTATCATCACTTGGTATTTCGGCCACTGGCCTAACGTCTGCAAATCGCCAGGGCTTTGATGATTTTTCCATGTCGTATTCGTCTTCTATGGAGTTTGCATGTCCACATTCACCATCTGTTGCAGAATCCCTTCTCTTTGGAAGCCGATGATCAAGAACTTCTGGTTATTTTAACCTTCGAGACGACTATTATTTTCCTTTTGTTTATTTGGGCATTAGAGTGACTTCCATGTAAATATAGCTATATTGAGATGTAGAAGATTTGCTTCCAAATAGTTTTCTATCAAAAAGTTTCTGCCATTCATTTAAACAGAAGCCATTGCATCTCTAGGACAAGTAGACTGAGGTTTAGCACATTTCATTTATGAAATTCTCAACCCCGAAGCAGGACTTTTTTTTTCTAATTTTCAGATTTAATAATGCAAAATAAAAATGGATAATGAGATACATAGACAGGCTTTGTAAAGAACATTTGTTCGGGTGCGAGAATTAAATATACTAAAGTTGCAATATACTGAATTTTCCCTGCCTCTAAAGGATTAATAGTTGTACTAGATTCTCAATCAAGTCCTTCAACATAAGTTGTAAAATAACTCCAGGGTTAATCATCAATCAAGTTGAGGAGTAAATAGATCAAAAACATTGTACCAATCGAAAGAAAATCAAATAAATTGCTTTATGAAATTTTGTTAAAAAGGACACTCCAAAGTACGGATGTTCATCCTACCTTATGGGTTAGAATTATGATATTCTATTTTCTTAGCCGATATTTTACGGAAAATTTTTTTCTTGGCGTACCCCACCCGATCAAGTGTATTATTCATACTCGAATTCCGTCCAAAATAATCGGGTGGGAGATCATAAGAAATCGGGTGAACACATATTTTTTAGTTATTAATTTTTGAATCATTTTAATAATTTAATTAAGTAACATGTATCAATTAACTAGCACAATAAACCAATAACACTAAAAAAAATATAATAAATTCGATAATACATAGACAATTACAATAAAACATAACAAGAAAGACATAAACATAAATACATTATATATATATGCGGGTAGGGTAGGATAGGATATGATAGGAATACGAAAATTTTATTGGTATTCTGCAATCCTATTCGATTTTTTGTGAAATATCAAAAAATCTTTCGTTAGCCTACCCGATTATTTTGGGTAGCCGATCAGTAATATCTGGTAAAATATGATAGGATCAGAATTTACAGGTAATCAAAAATTTGAACACTCCTACTCTTATGGACAGAGCCGACTGAAATTCCCACCCCTACAATTATTTATTTATTTTTTTTCCATGATTCAATCTATATCAGCTTAAATTTTTTTAGCTCTTAATAAATCATTTCCAGGAAGTTCTTGTTTGTTAATCAAGAAGGTATACTTTTCTCTTAAGGAGTATGAGTTGTTGATGTCAAATTCTACCCTTAAAAATCAAAATCAGTTGTTCCTTGTTTTCTATGATCATAAAAACTTCTAAAAAATATGTTTCGATCAGTCAACAACGTCTGATATTTCCTTCGTTGTCCTATCCAATTTTCCTCCTATTTTTCGCTGTAAATGAATTTCAACTATAGAAAAAAAATTGTCTAAAATTTCTCTAAAATTTCCCAAAGATTATTTTGTGGTGTAATACCACTTTCCTTGCATTTTATTTTGCAATCTACTTCAAAGTCTCTATCTATCATGTGTCCAAGTTCAAATATTGAATAGGTGCTTCAATGATGCCTCTTTCCTATGCTTAACAAGTGGGTAATGAATGTCCACCCAACTCCTTGTCAAGCATGTCATAGAAAAATAGAGAGGCTGCCTTGGCCCCCAAAACACATTCTCAACCATGGGTATTGACTTGTCTACATGATATAGTTCTCGTAATTGGTATGAAATTTTTACAAAGATCCCCCTCTCCCTTTCCCAACCCACCCCACCCCACCCCAATAATGAAATTCTGGTCCCATCCCTGTCACTAACCCTCATGGCCTGCCGTCTCGTGGCCTCCAATCGCCAAGCCACCCATGATAATCGGATGGGTTGTCGAACTTTCGGGCCAGCTCGTGGAATAATTACAAGAGAAATTTGGGGGCAAGTCCCCATATGTGGACTTATTTGGTAAGAAGTTCATCAAAGAAACATTTTGGAGAATAAGTCCATTTTAATTTTTATTGTCCAAAATACACTCAATAAATATATTTAATTAAAAAAAATTAAAATTTAACAACTCCTAAATTTTAGAAATTTGATTAACATTAAAATTTTCTATCTCTATCATATTTATATATAGCATGAAAAACAAAAAATAGTAATATTCAAATACAAAAAAAATAGTTAACATTTAAAAAACAAAAATAATAACATTCAAAAAAAAAAAATAGTAACATTGAATATTAATATTTGAAAAATAACAGTAGTAACATGTTCAATAAAACCAGTAACATGGTCAACCAAAAAAAAAAAGTAACATGGTCAAAAAAATAATAATATGAAACATTCAAACTCAAAAATATTAATATTTAAAAAAAATAGTGACATATAATATGTACCAAAAATTTAATTATTATTAACAACCAAATTAATTACAATAAAACATAACAGGAAAGACATAAACATCAATACATCATCTGTACTAGTTATAACCCGTGCTTGAAAGCACGATAAAATATAAAATTTGAGCGTCCAAAAAATCGATCCCACTATATTAAATTTTTTCAAAATATATTACCTACAAATTAATTAAATATATAATTGAAATGAGTGGTATGAAATTTTTAGGGAGGAAATATATAAATGATTAAATATGTGAAATAAATGAATGATGTAATTTGATGTTTGAGTCTGACAAATGGATGATGAGTGAGGTAAGTGATTGGTGATGATTTTGAGGGGGAAAATATGACTGAGATAAAATTCAAACACAGTCATGTTTTATTATATAGATATACTACTCATAACTCATACCTAAATGCACGATAAAATATAAAATTTGAGCTTTTAAAAAATCGATCCCACTATATTAAATTTTTTCAAAATATATTAATTATAAAGTAATCAAATATTAAATGATTAAATATATGATAGAAATAAATGATGTGATGTTTTTAGGGAGAAAATATATAAATGATTAAACATGTGATAGAAATAAGTAATGTGATTAGACGTTTGAGTCTGACAAATGGATGATGCGTGAGGTAAGTGATTGATGATGATTTTAAGGAGAAAAATATGAATGAGATAAAATTTAAACACATTTTTGTTTTATTATATAGATATATACGCGGGTATAATAGAATAAGAATACGAAAATTTTATTGTTATTCCACAATTCTATTCAATTTTTTGTAAAATATCAAAAGATCTTTCGTTGGCCTACCCGATTATTTTGGTTAGCCGATCAGTAAGGTTTGGTAATGTAGGATAGGATCAGAATTTACAGGTAATCGAAAAATTGAACACCTTACTCTAATGGACACAGCCGATTGAAATTCTCACCCCTACAATTATTTTGTTTTTTGTTTTTTTACCATGATTCAATCTATATCAGCTTATAATTTTTTAGCTCTTAATAAATCATTTCCAGGAAGTTCTTTTTCGTTAATCAAGAAGGTATACTTTTCTCTAAGGAATATGAGTTGTTGATTTCGACCCTTAAAAATCAAAACCAGTCGTTCCTTGTTTTCTATGACCATACTTGGAATAAACGTAAGTGAAAGGGATACTCAAATTAAGAGTAGAGCCCCGTATATATATCCAAAAATAATACAGAGTGACTTAAACATCCTTGTAGTTTAGGCAAAATATAAAAATCATAGTAAGGGTAAAAAAGGAAAAAGAAATCCTAATAAACTAGACTATCTATACTCCAACACTCCCCCTCAAGCTAGGCGCAAAAATGTCAATTAAGCCAAGCTTGACAACGGAGTCCCGAAGAATAGACAGAGTGACAGGTTTGGTAAAAACATCCGCAACTTGATCACTGGTCCCCACAAACGATGGAGTAACAAGACCACTGCTGACCTTCTCCCGAAGAAAGTGAACATCGATCTCTATATGCTTCGTTCTCTCATGTAGTACAGAGTCAGAAGCGAGCTGAATAGCAGATTGATTATCACAATATAATGTGGATGGAGAGGTCACTGAAAAACCCAACTCGTCAAGAATCGATCGTAGCCAGATAATCTCACATGTGCCAAGTGCCAATGCCCGATACTCTGCCTCTGCGGACGAGCGGGAGACAACTGTCTGCTTCTTGCTCTTCCAAGAGATAAGATGAGTCCCTCGAAAAGCACAGAAACCCGTAGTAGATCGACCATCACATGCTCCCCCATAATCTGAATCTGAATAACAGGCTAGAGAACCGGTCTGAGATCCTGATGCATAAAACAACCCAAGTCCAGGACAAGACTTGAGGTACCGAAGAATATGATAAACTGCATCAAGATGAGGCTGACATGGCCTATGCATGAACTGACTAACTCGGCTGACTGCGAATGAAATGTCCGGCCTAGTATTGGCTAAGTAGATAAGTCTACCTACCAATCTTTGATAAACTGTCGGATCTTTCAACTCCTCACCTTCAGCAGTAAGCTTCAGGTTTGGAATCATGGGTGATGATGCCGGTTTGCACCCCAACATCCCAGTGTCTGAAAGAAGATCCAAAACATACTTTCTCTGAGAAAGAACAATACCTCTGCTTCTACGGGCAACCTCAATCCCAAGAAAGTATCGCAGAAATCCAAGATCCTTCACATCGAAGGCCTTCCCAAGGTCTATCTTGACCTGCGCAGTCCCAGAAATATCATCACCAGTAATAATAATATCATCAACATATACCAGAAGGATGACACACTGTCCAGAAGTATTCCGTCGAATAAAGCAGGTATGATCAGAATGACACCTGGTGAACCCCAATCGTATGACTACATCACTGAAGCGAGAGAACCAGGCTCGTGGCGACTGTTTCAGTCCATAAAGAGACTTACGCAGTCGACATACCTTTCCAGCATACTCCCCCTCACCACGAAAGCCCGGTGGTGCATCCATATAAATAATCTCGTCCAGATCACCGTGAAGAAACGCATTCTTCACATCTAATTGATGAAGAGGCCAAGAGTACTCCGCAGCCAGAGAAATAATCAACC